GAGAGAGAGAGAGAGAGAGAGAGAGAGAGAGAGAGAGAGAGAGAGAGAGAGAGAGAGAGAGAGAGAGAGAGATTTGTGACTTTGGGATGTTGACGACATTTGGACACAGACTCAACCTTGGGACAGAGACATTGATGGGAGACAATTTGGGATCGATATCGACGACATTGGTGTTGACGACATTCTCATCTTCTCCCTCCTTCGTCTGATCCCCTCCTCTTCGTCTGTGTATGGTCTGGACCTGGCACATTCTTCCTGTGTGTAGCGCCAGGCCCTTCACACCTTGCGATGATGATGATGTATGACTGGTCTGCATTGCGACATTGATTGGTCTGATCATTGGTATTTTAGCCTTCCTCTGCACTATCCTGTACTATGTGAGAGAGGTCGGTTCTTGTTCTGGTCTGCACTGTTACGGTATGCAACAAGTCAGTACTCAGCTTAGGAAGTCCGCAGGACCCTCCCTGTAGGTTGTCAGTAAGTTCCCTGCCGGGTCTCAGGTAAGTTCCTCATGAGTTCGAACTTCGAAGTAAACGTCGTAATTTCGGATTAGGTTCTCAGTAATCGTCGTAATTTCGGATTAGGTCCTCAGTAAATTCCAAGTTCCCAGTAAGTCTACACACTTTCTGAGTACTTGCTTGGCAATCCTCCATAAGTCGCAGCAATTTGTCAGCAACTACTCAGTACCTTCTCAGTCAGTAAGTGCTCAGTAAGTTCTCAGTAATTACCGAGTTCAAATTCAGCAAGTCTGTAGTTAAGTACTTGTAAGTGCTCAGTAAGCTAGCAGGGTACACTGTGCTCAGTAAATCCCCAGTAAATCCTCAGTAACCACTACCTTCTTCCGCCGACTACAACATATGGTCATTATAGCTGTGCATTTAGACGAAAGATACCCCAAATTCAGCTATAATGACTGTACGGCGTACGGCGCTGTATTCGGGGGAAGACTGTAGCAGGATGCCTTCTCAGCTCAGAAGCTCCCAAATAAGTCGTCGGTCAGTAACTACTCAGTACTGAGTGTGAAGTTGTGAACCTAGCATTTCCTTCGCCAGCGCAGTAAGCTACAGTCTTCCCCCGAATACAACGTACGGTCATTCTAGCTGAATTCTGGGTATCTTTCATTCCAAATTAAGCTATAATGAACGTACGTTCTATTCGGGGGAAGACTGTAGCAGCATATATAGTACTCAACAGCACTTTCGGAGAATTACGGGAAGAGTCGGAAAGCGCGAAACAAAGCTGACAGACACCTTCCTTTGCTCATCGCTCTGTCAGACAATTAAACCACCAGTACTTCCTAGAGTCGTGCCAATTAACAAGCCACAATTTTAGGAAACGTACGAGCCACTACAGGAGCGCCCAAATTCGTCCGACTAGACATGTTTCTAGTACTCTATTTTTCCCGCGGCCAATAGCTCTGCCAAGTACTGGTGGTTTAAGAGTACACGCATGAACTGTTACAGACTGAAGTTTTCAAATCCAGGTACTATCTGATGAATGGAGTAAAATCACTCGGAATTGCCTGTGTCTGGTCAGTTCCATGATGACATCGCAAGGTCGTCACCTGCTTGACCATGATTGACGGAGACTTTTGAAGACCAGCATTGCCATGCGTGGTATTGATCTTCATAGCGCTGGCTCTGTGAAGCCAGCACCTGAGATATATTGACTTGGAGAGCAGCATTGCACTTTGGCGAGGTGTTAAGAGTGGAGAGAGGGTCCATCAGTGGTAGTTGATATTAGGACAGTGACTGGCTGTGGTGACCAATTTGAAGGAGAGGAGCCTTGGAGTTGAAGAGGGAGAAGATGGATAAGAGATTGCACCAATCAAACATTATCTTGAGATTTTCTTCATCTTCTGTATGGTCGGTAAAGCGTATAGTGTATTCTTCTCTCTCTCTCTCTCTCTCTCTCTCTCTCTCTCTCTCTCTCTCTCTCTCTCTCTCTCTCTCTCTCTCTCTCTCTCTCTCGTGCGTTGTAGTTCTTAAGCATTGCAAGTAATGGCATGATGGTGATGAAGTGAGTTTCCAGAGTTGGATTCCTTATAGTGGAATGAAGTACAGCTATATCAA